GGGTTCCCATTGGGCCAGGAGGACTTTGGGCCACGCCCCTTTGCCAGAGTCCGGCCCACAAACCCCAATCCTTGGCCAGAGGTAAAGTGGGTGGGGAGGAGCACAGAAGGAGTGTCGGGGTGTCCAACCTGGGGCTCGTGTGGCCCAGGATGGCTGTAAATGTGGCCCAACACAAAATCGTAAATTTAATTAATTAAACGCTTTTTTCCCCCTCTTCCGTTTTCTTGTTTGTGTTTTTAATGTGTGGCCTAAGACAAGTCTTCTTCTTCCAGTGTGGCCCAGAGACTCCAAAAGGCTGGACACCCCTGGAAGGTAGTTGTCCTCTCTCCACATCCGAGGTAAGAAAGGGGCCGTCATTCTCCCATTTCACAGAGAGCAATCTGAGTCTCTGAACGGGGAGCCCCTGTTGATGTCATACAGCAGTTGGGATGTGCCTAGGTCTTTGGATTTTAAAAAGCAAGGCCTCTGAGCCAGGCAGCCTGGATTCAAGTCCCACCCTTGCCACTCCCTTGTGTGACCTTGGATAAGTCACTTGTGTCCCCATGCCTTAGATTCCCCAACTGGTAAAAAAAGATATTAATAGTACCTACCTCACCGGGCTGCTGCAAGGATTAAATGAGATCATTTATTGACAGCACTTAGAACCAATGCATAGTAAATATTATGAAAGTGTTGCCATTATTATTATTATTATAAAAACTGATGAGGCTGGAATAATAGCCATAGCAGGGCATTTTTGTGTGCATGTTGCATTTCAGGCCTGAGCTAGTATCTTTTTACTCCATCTCAGTTAGTTTTCACAACAATCCTGCTATTTTTCACATGGTTTACAGAAGGAAATAAAAGTGTGTGGTCCTTACCGTATATAGTTTTAAGGTCACAACTAGAATAAGTGATGTAGTTCTTACAAGAATATTGTGAAGTCAGTACTCTTACAGTGACCATTTCACAGATAAGGAAAGCTGAACACGGAAAGCTGGAGTGGCTTGTCCCAGGTCACACAGGGGCTGAGCTCCGGGTTTGAGCCCAGAGCTTGCATTCTTAACCATTCTGCTTTACTGTCTCTATATTTGCACAATATCTTCTAATTATAGCAAAAACCCACTTCCCCAGGGCCAGGCTCTGCACCGAGTTCTAACCTTCCCTCCTCACAGGGGCCACCTGAACCACTGAGAGTCACTAGCTGGGCCACCACTTTATGTAGATGAGTCCCCTGGGCTTTGTAAATAGAAGAGTCCTGAGAGGGGTAGCCAGCTTCCTCCTGGGAGCTCGCGAGGAGGGGCTCTACAGTTCCCTAGAACAGGCAGCTGTGGGGTCTGGAGGCCTAACGTGGAAAGCTACACATACCTGGGCTTTCTGCCAGACACGCAACTTCATGCCTCCGGGCCTCAGTTTCCTTGTCAGTCAACTGGGCTACTTTTGAATAGCACCCCCCAAGGGGTCATGGGAAGATTCAATGAGGAAACCAACTAGAGCCTACCACATGGTAACTGATTGATACGGGAATCTATTAAAATTATTATTACTAACATGTAATGGTATTTATTGTTATACAAAACAGCATCTTTCTGGTCAATAAAATTACATATAAAGTGTTAAATGTATAATAGGTTGCTAGGTGTTACATAGTTAAATATTGATATGTTGATATAATTGTAATATATAGCATAAAATATTATAATACAGGGTCTGGCACAAATAACGCCCCTTTTTATTACATAAAAATCTTTTATTACGAAATCATGAGCATGTAATTCTGTAACATAACAATATCACACTCAAGTGCACCGCATGACATTTTAGGTGAAATGTGCAAATTGCTGCCCATCTCATGCGAGTCGTTCACGTACCCTACCAACCACACGCAATGTCGTTACTTCTGCCAGACCCTGTATATAGCATATAAGTTTGTACCATATTGTTGAATTATATAATGCCTAGTTATATAATTATATATTTAGGTAAATGTAATTATATAGTACAATACAGTAATGTATTTATGTGTTATACATTCTATAATATACACGTATATTAAATATTAAGTTTTTCCTTAGAATTTTATATGTAATAAAAATTATTCTGTCATTGTGCTTTACATCATAAGATATTAATAATGTTTCTTTTTTTCAGTCATCATTATGTGTTTTAAGACCCACCCATGATAGCACTGGCTGGGTAGCTCAGTTGGGGGTTTGATCCTTGGTCACGACACATACAAGAATCAACCAGGCCCAGGCCAGGTAATTGATTTAATTAGAGCGTTATCCTGACACACCAAGGTTGCGGGTTTGACCCCTGGTCAGGGAATATACAAGGAACCACCAATGAATGCATGGATAAGAGAAACAACAAGTTGATGTTTCTTTCTCTCTAAATTCAATCAATTAAAAAAAAGAACCAATAAATGCATAAATAAGTAGAACAACAAATCTCCCCCCCACCGCCATCTCTAAAATCAATTAAAAAAAAAAAAAGACCTAAGACCCATGCCCTAGCCTGTGTGCCTCATTTAGTTGGGTGTCATCCCAAACCAAATGAAAGGTCACAGGTTCAATTCCCAGTCAGAGCACATGCCTGGGTTTTGGATTCAATCCCCAGTCAGGATGTGACAAGAGGCAACTAATGGATATTTCTCTCCCTCTTTCTCTTCCCTTCCCCTTTCTCTAGAATCAATAAAAGAAAAAAAACATTTTTAATAAATTAATTTATTTTTAAAAAGACCCACTCATGATGCTCTGTGAGCTCCTTGTCTGTGCCTGCAGGACTCCTTGGTGATTGTACCCTTCTGTTTATCTATCCACTCCCCTGGGGTGGACACCCAGGCTGTCCCCAGCTCCCCCAAAATAACATTGCTGCAAACATCCTTGTTTATGTCCCCTCATGGAACTGAGTTGAGGGGGAATGTATTTTTATGTACCCGCAGGAGCTAATTGCAGGATGACAGCTCCATGTCACAGTTAATTAGACTAAGTAGTGTTGAGTGGCCCCTGGGAATGGCTGCCCACTTTAGGTATAAAGGTTCCTAGGTCCCTACATCCCCGACCTCCCCTTGACAGTTTCCAGCCTCTAATTTTTGCCAGACCAATTGGATGACTCACTGTTGCTTTAATTTGCCCTTCCCTGATCAGTTACCAATAATTTCCAGCATCTTCTCAGATGCCTCTCAGAGTTTTGCATTTCTTCATCACCTGCCCATACGGCTGAGAGAGAGAGACAGACAGCACATCATGGAGAGCACAGCTTGAGACCTGAGACGAGAGAAAGGGAAAGAAGCAGGAAGAGGAAGAGATACAGAGAGAGGGCCTGAAACTATGGTGTGTCACGTCTTGGAAAGGCTAGAGAAAGGGCTCTGTGCTTGTCTAAATGTTCTGGTGTGAAAAAAACATCATGATGACTTCATTCAGTGAAAAAAAGAAAAGAGTAAAAATATACTTCTAAGAGAGTTTTGGTTGAATTGACTAATACACTGAGTTTGACAGAATCATATTAATTACTATGACCCATTTACTCTTCTCTTGGGTAAGTACCCTACAGAACTGTACACTTTAATACTCATCAAAAGACAGTGTTAGAATGTTTACAGCAGCAACATTCACACCAGTCCCAAACTGGAGACAAAACAAATTGATAGATAATTCATAGAGTAGTCACACAATGAAAGATTATATAGCTTTTAAAAAAAAAGCAATAAACTACAACCGAACAGAATAACATGGAAATGTCACAAAAACATGATATTTAATAAAAGAAGCCAGACACAATAAATTATTCATTTATATACAGCTCAAAACCTGGCAAAAGTACTCTGCTATAATTCAGGCTGGTGGTTAAGTTTTCGGAGATAGCCCTGGGAAGGAGTTTCAGGAGGTTGGTAGGGGATAGAAATGCTCTATTTCTTGACTTGAGTGATTTTCACATAACTATGCTGTTTGTCATAGTTCACCAATCTAAACACTTAGTTTGTGCTCTTTTTTATATGTCAATTAAAAAATATGTGAAGCGTGACGATTTAGGTAAAAGAATAAAATGTGCATACTCAAAAGAAAAGTGTGTTTTTATAAGCACATATTCATCGATCCAAATAAACGCACAGCTAACACATGGAGTGAAACCCAAGGATATGTGACACTGGCCACCCCTGCCTAAGACGTACAGTAGGATGGGGAGGAGGCTTCCAGAGGGTTCACCTCCATCTCTAATGTTTTCATAATAAGATAACAGTCTTTAAGATTGTGCAAGGATTTGCCCTGACCAGTGCGGCTCAGTTGGTTGGGCAACTGGCCCACGAAACAAAGGGTCTCCCGTTGATTCCTGGTTGGGGTATATGCCTGGGTTGTGGGTTCAGCCCCCATCAAGGTGCATGGGGGTGGCCGATGGATGTTTCTCTCTCAAATCGACCTCTCCCTCACTTTCTCCCTTCCCTTCTCTCTAAAAATAAATTTAAAATCTTAAAAAAAAAGATTTTGTAAGAATTAATTGAATTAATATTTTAAAAGCCCTTAGAATAGTGTGTGGTATACAGTAGGCACTACATAAGCATTGTTATAATAAAAGTAATAAAGTGAAAATGTTTTATGGGGTACAAATGGTGTTAATAAACTAGGAATAAGAGAAACGTAAGAAAAATACAAAATATTATGTCTGTAACTTTCCATTCAAACCTTTGTGCATTGTCCTTACAGAAATACAGACTTTTCTTTTGAATGTGTTTTTACATAAATGTGTCATGTTAGGCTTTTTTTTTTTTTTTAAAAACTGCTTTTATTGAAGTATGAAAATGACAGAACAGAGAATCACGGGTCTAGAGACAGAAAGATGGGGGAGATAGAGAGAGAGCCCGCTGGGTGACTGGGGGTGGGGGCCAGCAGCTCCGGAAACCTCAGCCTGAAGGGATCCCCATGTTGGGGGAGGGGGAAACTTTGGTCTCTCCCCAGCTTCTTCCTTCCCCCTGGCCTGGGGCTGGGTGGGGAGGGGCAGTTCCTCTTTCCTTCCCAAGCACTGAGGAGGCCTCAGCTCCCAAGGGGCTAAGAAGCTGGAGCCTTGGTGAGGGGGAGGAGCTGAGCCAGACTCTTGCAAGACCCCCTCCACGTTCCACCCCACCCCCAGGAAGCATGAACAGGAAAGACTGCAAGAGGTGAGAGGACCCTCCAGGAGACGGGGTGCACTCAAAGGCCCTGGGCCGCCCACTGTGTGGGAAGGCTGGAAGGCACTAACCAGTTGGTAGGGTGTGAGGTCCCTCCGGGAGCAGGGGCAGGAGCAGTGGGCAGGAGCAGGTGGAAAGATGCTTCAGGGAGTCCAGAGCTAGCCAGGGCTGGGGGCTCTTCGTATAAGAGTCTAGTTATGCTCTCTCTGGAGCTGGAACTGCTCCAGATCCTCTTCTCCCCACCCCCGCCTTCATCCTAACTCCCTAAGCTGGGCACTCTGTCCTCCCTGCGGTCTTCCTGGTTCCCCCTCACAGTCACTTGCTGTCCCCTGAACTGGAAGCTCCAGGCTCCTGCAGAGCCCTGCCCCCAGGGATGGGAGTGTGAGGCAGGGCAAAGCGGCTCCCCTGTCTCCTGGACCACCCCTGGCTGCTTCAGATACCACAGGGGGCAGGCAGTCTGCAGGTAAGGGCCTAGCAGCTGACTATAGCAGCAAGTTCTGGAATAGGCTTCTATCATCTGGGCAAGCCAGCCCTCCCGTCCTCATAGGATGATGATTGTTGGCTTCCTAACCTGGGCAGCTCCAGCCTCCTTCAGCGTGTCTCTGATGGACAAAGGGGTCCCCTCCCCATAACATCCAACAGTTTAGTGGTTGAGACCCAGTTGCCTCATTTTCTGGCTGTGTGACCTTAGGCAAGTCACTTAACTGCCCTGTGCCTCATTTTTTTCTTGTCAATAAAATAATCATAGTCCATCCTAGAAGGGTCACTTAATTGCTCAGTGAGACTCTAGACCTGTAGTTCTCAAGCTTGAGGGCTTATAAAACACAGTTTGCTGGGCTTATCTCCAACTTTTCTGATTCTTTAAGCCTGGGGTGGGGCCTGAGAACTTGTATTTATATGAAGTTCCCAGGTGCTGATATTTGTGTAAGTTGGAGACCTTGCTTTGAGAGCCACTGATCTAGGTAGGTGTTCACCCCTCTGCTGAGGACATATTTGGTACTCAATAAATGCCAGCTGTTACTCAACAACATTCAATACCTTGGGTGAGCCAGGAACATGGCAGGCCATTGTTCTAAGGATCTCCCAATTTCTGGTTCCATGCCCCAGGCCTAGCTTTAGCCAGCTCCATCACTTTCTCTCTCTGCATCTTAAGTTCAACTTCCCCACCTCTGGCCACTTAATAACCTGAGCAGACTATGTCCCTTACCTAGCACTTTTGAAGAACAAGGCATTGAATATTCATAGCAGATTCCTGGGGAAGGTCAAATGAGGACCCTCATTTTTCATATGAGGAAACTGAGGGCCAGAGAAATTAAGTAACTAGCATAGCCACACAGCCAGCATACATTTCTCTAACCTTGTTTTGTTTATCTTGTGGAAGCCAAGGCTGTTTTGCCTGGATTCTGTTCCCTCCTCCCTCCATCATCCCTGTCTCTCCATTATAGTCTTTCCCCAACAGGAACACCAGCCTCCACCCTCAAGCCTTGGGGAGGCACAAGGCAGAGTGAAGGTTATTTTTAAACTGAAACTGTCTCAGCCCCTAGGACCCCACCCAGTTCTGAGAGCTCCAATATTTTCTCTCTAGACTCCAAATCTAGGGACTTAAGGGGGTAGCTAAGACTCGAGTCCTACAGAAGGGCTGGTTTGATGGAGGGGTCAAGGTAGGGGATGGAATCTCAGGGGTCCGCTGCTCTCAGGAGGGCTGGGGAAAGAAGGCCTAGTGTTGGAGAACAAAGGGGGAATTCTGAGGAGTCTCCCTGAAGGCACAATCTACTATGATTCCCCTGGGTAGGACAGGATCCCGGTGGTCTTTGCCCATGATTTCCTTTAATATCAGGAGTAATCTTAGGGTTCTGCCAACATGAAATGTCTCCCATGATGCCTTGGGATTGAACAGTCAAAGGGAATTTGGGGGCAACACCTGGAGGGTATTTTAATTCACTGGAGGGTCATCTCCCATGATTCTCGGGGCGGTGGGTGGGGGGTGGTTCAGGGTAGTCTTGAGGGTATTTTCCTGATTCCCTGAAGGAGACAGGAGTAATTCTTGGAGAAGACTCCCATGGTCTGAAATACTCTGGAGGTTTTCTCCCATGAGTCCATGGGAAGTCAGGAGTAACCCTGGGATTTTGCCTTTGGGGCTTTGGGGTCAAGAAGGATTCTAAGGGCCTGTCTGAAAGAAGGGGCTCCCATGATTCCCTAGGGGGGATGCCCACAGGAAGTCTCACCAGGAATGCCCAGGAAAAACAGGAGGACGAGGTCGGCCCCGACCGGCCCGTCGCCATAAGACATGCCCTAGTCCCCGGGAAATCAGCAAGATCATGGCTTCCATGGCTCTGGACATGCTGAAAGAGGGTGGCTGCAGTGAAGATGAACTACTGGAGAAATGCATTCAGTCCTTCGGTGAGTGTCTCCCTCCCTGGCCAGCCTTCCTAATCCTAAAGGTGGACCAAGCATCCACCTCTTTCTAGGCCTCAGTTTCAGGGGTTATAACATGGAGTGTGTGGAATGAATCTCAATCACTACAGAGATAAGAGAGACATCTGCATTTCTCTTTCTTGAGATGTGAGAGAGAGGTGGTTTGATAATATTTCCATCTTCAATATGACTTGCTAGGCACTGTGCTGGTTCAGGCATAGTATAGACCAGGAAACTGAGGTACAAGGAGGCCAGGTTCTTTGCCCAAGTTCATGCAGAGAGTTAGGAGTAGACCTGGGGTTTGAAACAGGCAGTCCACTGGCTGTAGAGACTGCAGTTCATGGCCTGGGAACCCTTCTGACAGAATCCTTTTCTTCTCTGCCCCTAGACTCAGCTGGCAACTTGCGCCATGGGGACCACATTCTCAACATGGTACTAGCCATGCACAGTTGGGTGCTGCCTCCTGCCCACCTTGCTGCCCGTCTGCTGACATTATATCCTTCCAGGGCTATGAACAGTGCGTAGAGGGCAGAGGGCAGAGATGTGAGAGTCTGAGCTATGGGGACAAGATGAGCAGGCAGGTTTGTGATGCTGGATATCAGAGCCTTAACCAGAACTCAAGTACCAGGAGGCCACAGGGAACACACAGGAGCTGAGGCGGCTGCAGATCTGTCACCTGGTCAGGTAAGGCTGGGCCAAGGCCTCCATACCCATGACCCAACACCCTCATCCTGCTGCCCCCTAACACCTCCCAGAGACTCCCCCAGCCCAGTTTCCCACAGACCTACAGAGCCCTGCTCCCCCAAATCCCACTTTCAGACACCCTCGTTTGTTTGTTAAGACCCTCCTACTTCTGCACCTTAGAACTCTCACCTTTTAGAGACCCCTAACCTGATCCCATAGACCCTCTTACCTGGTGCCCAGACACCTCTAGTTCTGATCCCTAAACCCCACCTCCCACACACTCCATCTAGCTTCTAAGACCGCCCTCAAGCTGTTCCCCCAAAATGAGGTCCCCTGAAACCATCCGCATTATCTTGCTACCTAGCAATACTACTTCCAAGAGATCCCCCTAGTCTATCTCCCATTGATCCACCAGTCTGTGTTAAGAGGCCCTCAATCCTAATCCCAGAGGCTGTGCCAGCCTGGTGTCTCTCTGAAACCTGACCTTCTAAAGATCTCCCAGCTCAGCACCTAGAGATTCCTCAGCCCAAGAGACCCCTTTTAGAGACCTTCCCCACACTCAACCTCATCCCACCATCTCTAAACCACCCTCAGGTACTGGCTGACCCAGCACCCTGAGACAGTGCACCAGGAGCCCCAGTTAGAAGAGGTTATAAATCGCTTCTGGGCCACTGTGGAGCAGGAAGGCACTTCAGCACAGAGGAGCCTGAGAGACTCCTCCAATCTGTGAGTCAGCCCCTCCCCCTTCCCTCTCCACTCCACCATCTCCCTCCATATCCCGACATTCTCCACACTGAGCCCCTCCAACATCCTGCTTTTCTTTGCCCCCAGCCTGAGCCCTGGTGGCCCTGGCCCCCCACCCTCCATGAGCAGCCCAGGTCCAGGCAAAAAGTGCAAAGTGTCCTTGCTTTTTGACCATCTGGAGGCAGAGGAGCTGGCTCAGCACCTCACTTACCTGGAGTTCCGGTCCTTTCAGGCTATCACGGTGAGGACCCTCCTCTCTCCAGAGAGGGAGAGCTTGCGGTGGGGCGGTACCTGGCTGGGGTCAAGGAGGACTGAGAGGACCCCAGCCTGGACATCAGGCAGGGATCTCAAACTCTCAAACTTGGCACTAGGAAAATGAGTTAAGCTGGCTGAGCACAGAGCTCCTGGGTTCAAATCCATCAACCCCTTCTTACCTGTGTAACTTTGAACTTGTCCCCTCTCTGGGACTCAGTTTTCTTATTTGTAGAAATGGAGGTCATAACACTTCATTGGCTGGCTGGGAGAATTAAATTAATACGTCCATTTAAAAATTGCTTGTCGCAATGCTTGGCACATAGTAACTGCTAAAAATAGGATCAGTGTCTGGTCCAGAGTAAATGCTATCATGTTTTACCTACCCAAATGGTAATTTCATGTGGTTCAAAATAATGTGTTAATTATTGCAATCCTCATTTCAAGGAGAGTTGGCAATCTGGTTTTTTGTTTGGTTTGTTTTATACTTTAGTTAAATTTATTTTTAAATTACAGTTGACATACAATATTATATTAGTTTCAGGTGTACAACATAATGATTAGACATATACCTTACAAATTGATCACCCTGTTGGGATCTGGTTTCTTAATGTGAAAATTTCCTGATCGTACACACACATGCACATGCGCACAGAGCAGTGCATGTGGGTATGGAATGTTGACCCCTTGAGCAGAACAAATAGAAATCCATTTCATGTCCTCTTCATCATCCTTCCCTTTGCTGACTATATAGCAGATAGGTAAACAGTTAAAAACAACAGACTGGGTTCCCACCCTGACTCAAGCTTATGTGATCCTGAGCAAATTTCTTATCCTCTCAATACCTCATTGGCCTCATCTCTAAAATGGGAATAATATAGTAATCACTTCATAGAGTTGATGTGACGGTTAAATTAGTTAATATGACAAAGGACTCAGAAGAGTGCCTGGCTTTATTTAAACGTTTCTCCTCAGATGGGAATGGGCCATAGTGATGTCAGGGACATGTGACAGCCAGGCTAGGATGCATAGGAGGTCATGACTGCTAGGGGGATGGGAGTGTGAGGGGCAGGGCCTGAGTGCCACCAGCCTACCCTGATGCCCATTTCACTCCCCAGCCCCAGGACCTGCGCGACTACGTTTTACAGGGCTCTGTGCAGGGCTGCTCGGCTCTAGAAGGATCTGTAGGTCTCAGCAACAGCGTGTCCCGCTGGGTGCAGGTCATGGTGCTGAGCCGCCCAGGGCCTTCGCAGCGCGCACAGGTGCTAGACAAGTTCATCCACGTGGCACAGGTGAGGCCCTCCTCATAGCTCTGCTCGCTTTGTGGGCACTTGCACCCCTTCAGTTCCAGCTGTCATTCATGGTGATGATGTCACCATGCCGTAGCCATGCTCGGACACATCGCACCCCAACCCTGATGCCGCCGCCCAGGTGTCAGTCCTGTGGTTCTAACCTGGATTGTGTCAGCTCTTTTTATTTAATTAATTTATTTTTTAATTTTTAGAGAGAGAAAAAGGGAGGGCGGGGGAGGAGAGGGACGTGATTTGTTGTTCCACTTATTTATGCATTCATTGGTTGATTCTTGCTCATGCCCTGGCCTGATGGAGCCCACAACCTTGGAGTATCAGGTCAAGCTCTAACCAACTGTGCTGCACAGCCAAGGCCCAACCGTTCTCCCTTGGCCTTTAAATCACCACTTGGAACCTGCCCTGGCCCCACCCCCTGGTCCTAAACTTGACAGTTGACTACATCTCTCCTGGCCCATCTTCCAAGCCCTGTACCCGAATAGTTTATCTCCAGGGCAATGAAGGTGTCTCTTTCATGCACCTCTGCGTCATCCTCCACCCCAGTTCCTGTGCCCCAGCGGCCCCTTTGTGATTGTGCCTGCATCCCCTCCCCTCACGTCCTCTCTCTCCCTGGTCCCGCCCCGTGCATCAAGCCCCAAGAGCCAGCAGATACATTCTGTCCCTCTGGAGAAAAGGGAAGCCCTCCTTCCCCCAGCGTGGCCACGCCCCTCTGCATACTTCCTTGCAGACCGCGCCCTTCCTCTGGCTTCTCCCACCCTATTGCTTCCCAAGCCTGGCCCCTTACACCGGCAGTTCTGGTGCCTGCCTGGGGTCTCCTGGGTCTGAGCATCTGCCACTCCTCCCCGATTCACTTTCTCCCAGAAGCGACCTGTGCCCTTCCAACTTGGAAAAGGGGAGAGAGAGAGGCCATTGCCCCTGATGGCCAGCTGACCCCACACCCGTCTCATGACTATCTGACCCCTCCATATCACTCTGGCCCCTTTCACCTCTGCCTGGTTTCTAACTCCTGACTTCTTGTCTCGCCTCATCTGTCTGACTCTCAGAGCAGTTGGACCTCCAGGTGCCTGACAGCCTGACATCTGTCTGAATCCCCCACACCTGACACCCATCTATCTAGTCCAATGCTCCATACTGCGTGACTCCCTCCACTTTTTTCTAACCTCACATTAGTCTATCACCTTCCAAACCTTCGTGTAATGCCTGCATACCTGCTGTGACCCACTCCTGCCTGACACATCTCACCTATCTGATGTCCACACTGGCCGGCACCACACATGCCTGAGACCCCAACCTCAACTGGGATACTCTCAACTGAGATGTTGTCATCTGAACCTCCAACTTGGCTGTGCTCCATGTGACACTCATCACCTCTGCATTGCCCTCCCTTCCTAGAGGCTCCACCACCTGCAGAATTTCAACACACTGATGGCAGTCACTGGGGGCCTGTGTCATAGTGCCATCTCCAGGCTCAAGGACTCCCACGCTCATCTGAGCCCTGACAGCACCAAGGTGAGGTCCCACTACTCTCCCCAAAGTTCCAGTGGTCCTGAACCTCCACTTTTTCCCAAGCCCCTCCATCCCTGCCCTGGGCCCTGGAGCTACCTTGGGACCTTACTTGTCCAAATCCAACAGACCCCAGGCTCTGTCCTCTTCACCCATCAATCCATCATGCCAACACCTCTTACTCTCTGTGTGTCCAGCAGGACTGGATAGACAGATGAAAGAGATGCTAGTGGAGAACTTCAGTCTAGATGGGGAGTACAGTGATGCCCCCAGGAGTGTCAACATTTGAGCCTCCCATGGGAGGAGTATGGGATGGGATGTCCTGGGACTGTCTGGGAAGAGTGAGTCATTCATGAGCCTGATGTGTGGCTGAGGTCAGGACATGGCAAGAGATGCCCAGGGGGAGATCCAGGTGAGCCTTGCAAGCTGGACTAAGGTGGCTGGCTTTATTCAGAGGGCACTGGGGAGCTAGGGAATCTTTGAGAATGATGGCAGCATCCATGATTGGATTTGGGTTTTGGAAAAATCACTCTTGCCTAGGGAATGAGAGATGGGGACCCAAGAGGAAGGGCAGTTTTGAAAGATGCTGATGGCAATGTGGGACATGGAGGGGCTCAGGGTGGTGTCCAGAATAGCATTGAGCCTCTGGGGGTCAGGAGCCCACACAGGAGGCTGCTAGGATACACTCCTTGAGAGGGGCTAAGAGAGCAGAACCTGCTTTCCCAATAACATGCCACTGCCCCTCCCACACAATGTGGCCTTCCACACAGGCTCTGCTGGAGCTGACTGAGCTGCTTGCTGCCCACAACAACTACTCCTGCTATCGCCGAACCTGGGCTAGCTGCACAGGCTTCCGGCTGCCTGTGCTGGGTGTGCACCTCAAGGACCTTGTGTCACTGTATGAGGCACAGCCAGACAGGTTGCCTGATGGCCGCTTGCACCTTCCCAAGCTCAACAGCCTCTACCTGCGGCTGCAGGAGTTGGCCGCCCTCCAGAAGCAGCACCCCCCCTGCAGTGCCAATGAGGACCTGCTGCATCTGCTCACGGTGAGCTGCCCTGCTCAGGCTGGGCTACCTGAGGCTGAGCCTGGAGTACTGAGATTTAGGGTTCTGGGTGGTTGACAGGTTGCAGGACCAGGAGAGACTAACTGCTGGGATGTGTGGGCTTTGAAACCAGAGTTTCTAGGGTTTATTTGTTCTAGGTGTGTGGCCTTGGGCAAGCTACTTAACCCTTTGACTTCAGTTTCTTTATCTGCAAAATGGGAATAATAATAGGACCTACTTCAGAGAGTGGTTGAGAAGAATCAATTGATAATATAATTCACATAAAGTGCTTAAATTAGTATCTGGAACACAGTGAGCTCTATGTAAATTATACATTTTTTCCTCCCATTCTCCCAGCAACTCAAGTATACATTGATCTCCAGAGTTGCTTTGGGCTTTCCCACTTCTGAACTCCAAGGTTCTCAGTTTCTCATGTCACTAGTCCAAAATCCCAAGCTTTAACATATCCAGGAATCTAAGCATAAAGCTGGTAATAAGCATTGATCAGTTACTCTGAGCCAGGCACCATGCAAAACACTCTGTAGAGAACACTTCATTCCATCTGCATAACTCCAAAGTGGGGACTCTTACCATGCCTATTCTACAGACTGGGAAACCAAGGACCATGGAGGTGAGGTCACTTGCCCACTGCCCCACAGCAGTAAATCCTGGATCTGAAGCTGGGCAGGCCAGCTTCAGAACCTATGTGTAACATAAGTGAATCATTACACTGTGTTTTAAGACTGGAAGTGTGGGATTCTGGAAAATACATATGTAGAGTGGTGGGCAAAAGTAGGTTTACAGTTGTGAATATGCAAAACACAAAGTTTATTCTTGTAGTATTATTAGTTATTGTATTATTTGTATTACAGCTGTAAACCCACTTTTGCCCCCCTCTGTATATATTCTAATATTCTAAGGAGGACCAGTTGCATAATTTGCAGGGCACAAGTATGGGGCTCCTCGATCCAAATTCTAAAGAATTTTAAGACAGTGATGGCAGAGTATTAAACAAAGTGAGGGCCTTCCTGTGTGGGGCCTCCCTGTGAAGCTAGACTCGCCCTAAGATGTGTGACACTGAAGGCCCAATGCTTTGCTGACTCTAAAAAGCCATCAGCCCAATTATTTACTGAGCACCCACTGTGAGTCTGGCACTACTTTAGGCACTTAGGCTCACAGCAGTGAGCAAGTCAGAAAAAAAGGTTGCTGTTCTTGTGGGGCTGACAATCCTAGTGGGGGAGACAACCCATAAAACAAAGCAAATAAGTAAATCATATGGCCCTTTAGATGATAAGTGCAATAGAGAAAATTAAGGCAGAAAAAGGCATGGAAAGGGGCAGGGGTTTGTGATTTTAAATAGGATCAAAAAAAGCCTCAGCGAGAAAATGGCGTATCTGGACCAGGGGACAGGTGCTGTAAAGAGTGAATGGGTCTCCTCAGTGGGAGAGAAGACCCTAGGGGTCCCCAGAGAAGAGGGGGATTTTGGGAATAGGGAGAGTATGGGGGCCCAGGCAGGTCATGGGCTGTAGGTAGGAGGATGGACACAGAGGGTCTGTAACACTGTGCCCACCCCCAGCTTTCCTTGGACCTCTTCTACACAGAGGACGAAATCTATGAGCTTTCTTATGCCCGGGAGCCTCGCTGTCCCAAGAGTCTGGTGAGTCCCGACCCCTGATCTCTGACCTCCAGCCCAAGTTTATACACTGACTAACTGTGCCCCGCTGTCCCTGCCCCAGCCACTCTCCCCCTTCAAAGCACCCCTGGTGGTGGAGTGGGCCCCAGGCGTGACGCCCAAGCCCGACAGAGCAACCCTGGGTCGGCATGTGGAGCAGCTGGTGGAGGTAAGGGGGAAACCGGTCTGGCTGCTGGGGCCCAGGAAGGAGGCTATCTGTACGGCTCTGACCTTGAGGAGAGGCTCTAGGTCTGAGGGGAGCATGACTTGGGCTTACTCCCCACTTCCCATGCTCTTCTGAAGTCCGTGTTCAAGAACTATGACCCTGAAGGCCGAGGAACCATCTCTCTGGAGGACTTTGAGCGACTCTCAGGCAATTTCCCCTTCGCCTGCCATGGGCTTCACCCACCCCCTCGCCAGGAGTAAGTGCTTTGACTTTTGGGTCCCCCAAAGACAAGGATACCAGGGTTGCCAGGACACCGGGGTCTGGGAGAAAGGGGCCAGTCATGATGAAGCAAGGTTTCTGTCCCCAGGAGTGGATCCTTCAGTCGAGAGGAGTTGACAGAGTACCTGCTCCGGGCTAGCGCCATCTGCTCCAAGCTGGGCCTGGCCTTCTTGCACACCTTCCATGAGGTCACCTTCCGCAAGCCCACCTTCTGTGACAGCTGCAGTGGTTTTGTGAGCACTTGGCCCACTATCACCCTTGGGTCCCCTGTACTAAGTGTCCTAGCTCCTCACAGTTTGGGCTCAGAAGCCAACCCTTTCCTGGAACAGTCAGTCCCCAAGTCCCAAAGAATCCCCAAATTCCAGAAAATCCTTCAGCCTCAGATAATCCCTGTATTTCATAATGCACCCTAAACATTTGGATATTCGCTACATCTGGATAATTCTAAGTCAGATAGTGTAACTAACACCCAAATCCCAGATGACTTCCATGCTAGATAATTGCCAAGGCATGGATAATACCTAAAATCCTATTTAATATACAAGCCCAGGTAGATTATCTCCAAACAATCAATCTCCAAGTCTTTAGACTCTAGATAATTTTCAAATGTACTCTCAAATTATGGATAATGGACAAACCTCTCAATCTTCAAACCGAGGCTAATTTACAGTCCTTGTACTTCCCAAATTTGCTTTTCATTCATTAAATATTTATTGAGCCCCTCCTATGTGCCAGCACAGTTTTAGGCTTGGCGGGGGGTGGTGTGTGTGTGTGTGTGTGTGTGTGTGTGTGTGTGTGTGTGTGTGATGGGGATGCAGGAGGCATAGCAGGAAATGCAACAGACACAATCCCTGCCCATATATTTCCAAATTTGACCCGATTCTAATAGCCTAGATGACTCTCCAAACTTGAGAGCACCCCCAAATTCCTTTAATCCTCAAATCTCACATAAGCCTCTAACCTTAAGAATTTCCAAAACGTTGGATGGTTTCCACACTTCCAAACAGCCCCTGCCCCATCCACAGTCCTCCCTCTGCTAGCCTAGGTTACCTATTCTGCTTTCTCTTCCCAGCTCTGGGGTGTCACCAAGCAAGGCTACCGCTGTCGGGGTGAGTGGGGGACCAGTGACAGGGGACGGAACTCAGGCCTTGTGGATTGGGAGATTGGGGACATAGGCTGGGCCTTTGGCCATTAACTGCTGCTTTTCACCAGACTGTGGGCTGTGTTGCCACAAACACTGCAGAGACCGAGTGAAGGAAGAGTGTAAGAGACCAGGCGCCAAGTGCAATATGAGCCCCCCAGGAGCTCCCGTCCCACCCACACCAATCCCTCATGCCAGCTGTGGTAAGACCCAGGGTGGGTGTAGCAGTCCTGGGAAGAGGGCTTGGGGGAATAGGAGTTAATCCCAAGGTCGTGAAGTCCTTCCCACGATATCCACATTCCTCCCACCCATACCCCACAAACAGGCTCTGAGGACAGTCCTTCCTACACACTCTCCCTGGAACCTGAGACAGGATGCCACCTTCACCATGCTTGGACCCAGACAGAGCCCCTACTCCCTTCCTGGGAACCTGAGTCGGTGAGGAAGAACTGCCCCCTTCCCCCATCTGGATACAGGGAGGCCAACCCACTTGCCTGGGGAACCCAAACAGATTTGGGGGAGCATAGCAAAGTAAAAATGTGTAAAAGTCCTTAATTACTTGGGTAGGAGAGTATAGATCCTGGTTAATTTTTAATGTTAGAAAAGTAGAAAGTACAGTATGTTGCGGGAGAGAAGGGGTAGTCTCTAGTAGAACAGAAAAAGGATGTTAGGGAGAAAGAAAGAAAACAATAAGATGGCAAGAATAAGGTCAAATATATCAGGAGCTACAATAAATGTCAGTGGAATAGACTCCACTTTTTTTTTTTAAACTTATTTTTAGACAGAGGGGGAGAGAAACATCAATGTGTGGTTGCTTCTCACGCATCCCCTACTGGGGACCTGGCCCACAACCGAGGCATGTGCCCTGAGAATCGAACTGGCGACCCTTTGATTCACAGGCTGGCACTCAATCCACTGATCTGCACCAGCAAGGGCTAATTCCACTTTTCAAAGGCAGAGAGATCAGACTGGGTTAAAAAAAAAAAAAAAAAAGTCCCCAGGAGACATTCATTCATCCACTTAGGTCTGATGAGGTACTGCTCCTGGCAGTGAAATGTCTCGTGGACACTCCAACCCCCCATATCTTCCAACCATCAATGTCTTCCTCCTTCCAGATCCCCTTCCCAACGACGGCCTCACCACCCATCCAGTCCTCCAAGCCGAATTCCTAGACATTGCCTTGGTCTCTTCTCTCATTCCCTCTCCACAGAGCCAGTCCCCAAGTCATGTCATTCGGCCTCCAGCAGAACTCCCAAAGGGATCACCTCCTTTGCATCCACACTGCCTTCGTTGAAGCATCCATTATCTCTTAACCCCAAAAGAAAGTTATGAAAATTATCTTCTTTTGCATCACAGTAGCTAATAATCATACACTACCTTTTCCCACACGTAGTGTGCAGCTCCATGTTGGATACATTTAAACTTAGACATTATCTCACCAACTCCTTAAATCTCCATTTTACAGATGAAGAAACTGAGGCTCAGTGAGGTTAAGTTGCTTGCCCAAGGTGGCAGGACTCAAACTCAAGTCTGTCTGCCTCTAAAGCAGAAGCTTCTGACCAATACGCTACACTGATGGTCAGCGTGGGTCAGGAGTGGGAGGGGATAGGTTGGGAAGAGTTCCAAACTCTGTGGTTCCAGAGATGAGAGAGAAGGCTAGGGAAGGCGAGAAATGGGGTGGAAAGGGAAGCCTGTGAACACCTGAGTCAGATAATGCGGCACCATTTCATTCAGGGTAGAACCCAGAGTCCTCACTATGGTCCATTCCACACAGTATGCCCCTATTACTTCCCGCCACTTGCCCCCTCACTCATCCTGCTTCAGCTATGTTGGCCTGTGAACATGCCAAAAATACTCGTACCTCAGGCCCTTTGTACCGGTTGTACTCTCTGCCTGGAATGTTCTTCCTCAGAGGCCCATATGACTCTCTCAGTGAGGCCACCTGTCACCACACTCCAAGGTGCAATCTCCCCACTGTACTGATCCTATCTTTCTGCTTTATTTTCCTTCAAAGTCGTTTTCTCATCTGGCAAACTATTCATTTTGCCTTTTTCTCTTGTTGAGTATCTGCCCCTCCTTACCAGATATGTCAGTCCAGGAAAATGGGGTTTTCCTTATTTGCACCTTTCACTGCTTTACCCTCGGGGCCTAGAAGAGGGCTCGCACATGGTGGGTGCCTGATAAATGTTTGTTCAATCCCTGCATGTCTCCTTCCCCGTGCCCACAGGAAGGGAAAGATGTGCTGCTGAAGAGCAAAGGACTTTGTGGGTCAGAGCACCAGGGGCCTGTTTAGACCCAAAGGACAGACCCCTCTACTACTCTTCAAATTCATGAACCCCTTAATCTGACCCCCACAAAGACCGGTCCTATAGCTGTTATAAATTAAATTTATTTTCAAGAGAACACGGTCCTTGGTGTTAAATAGTAGATGGGGGGAGGACATTTGGGGCCCCAGGAACATGGTTTGTGGGGCCTCATTATCAGGTCCCAAGAAAAACCATCAAATTGACTCCCCAGAAATTATCAATGGTGTCAGCAATGCATAGAGGACACCTGCCCCAGCTACCAGTCCTTTATTTCTTCTTCTTCTTGCGGCCCCAGCCCTGGCGGCCTGACTTCCGACTGCCTCCATCCTCTCTTCTGCTCTGCCAGCTGGGCATGGGAGCCTCCAACTCATTTGGGCGGCCCCCTCGGTCTGGCATGTTGCCCATAAGCACCTGAAAGTTAATTAGATTTGAGTTTCAGAGAAGAAAAGTATCTTGGACACATTTAAACTTAGACATTATCTTACCAACTCCTTAAATCTCCATTTTACAGATGAAGAAACTGAGGCTCAGTGAGGTTAAGTTGCTTGCCCAAGGTGGCAGGACTCAAACTCAAGTCTGTCTGCCTCTAAAGCAGAAGCTTCTGACCAATACGCTACACTGACGGTCAGCGTGGGTCAGGAGTGGGAGGGGATAGGTTGGGAAGAGTTCCAAACTCTGTGGTTCCAGAGATGAGAGAGAAGGCTAGGGAAGAAGGCCCAGAGGGCGAAGGGAAGAGCATGAGGTTAAAAAAGGAAGGGCAGGCTTCTGGTCAAGATGGCAGTGTAGGCAGACATGGCTTGCCTCTTTGCACAACCACATCAAAATCACAACTAAAATATAGAACTGTAACTCAGAGCTGTCAGAAATCGAATTGAATGGAAGTCTGACAACTGCAGAATTAAACTATTTGAAAAAATAATGAAAGACAACTTCCCTAATTTGATGAAGGAAAAAGACAAGCAATTCCAGGAAGCACTGAGAGTCCAAAACAAGATGGATGCAAAGAGGCCCACTCCAGGACACATCATAATTAAAATGCCAAAGGTTAAAGATAAAGAGAGAATCTTAAAAGCAGCAAGAGAAAAGAAGTTAGTTATCTACAGGGGAGTTCCCATAAGACTGTCAGCTGACTTCTCAAAAGAAACTTTGAAGGCTAGGAGGGATTGGCAAGAAATATTCAAAGTTATGAAAAGCAGGGACCTACAGCCAAGGTTGCTCTCTCCAGCCAAGGTATCATTTAGAATCAAAAGACAGATAAAGAGGTACCCGGACAAGAAAAAACTAAAGGAGTTCCTCATCACCATTATTACATGAAATGTTAAAGGGACTTATTTAAGAAAAAGAAAATCAAAACTATAAACAATAAAATGGCAGTAAATACAAATCTATCAACAATTGAATGTAAAAACAAACTAAGCAAACAAAAAGAACAGAGACAGAATCATGGATACAGAGCATTTTGATGGTTGCCAGATGAGATGGGATAGGGTATGGGGGAATGGGTGAAGAAGTGGCAGGATTAAGAAGTACAAATAGGTAGTTAAAGAATAGCCATGGTGCTGTAAAGTACAGTATGGGAAATGGAGTAACCAAAGAACTTCTATACATGACCCACGGACATAAACAACAGTGAGGGGATTGCCTGACGGAGTGGGAGGTGCTGGATGGAGGGGGGCAAAGTGGGAAAAATTGGGACAACTGTAATAGCATAATCAATAAAATGTAATTTTTAAAAAAGGAAGGGCAGATGTTAACTATTTGGGTACAATGGGTAGGAGGCTCTGGGGGCCTGGATTGGTGGAAAATACAGGACTGGAGCTTTCAAACTGGGTTCCAGGGGCCTTTGTAAAAGGGAAGTAAAAGTGAGAGTGATGGCAAAGGTCCAAGTCCCCACCAATAGTAACAAGGAAGGACATCTTATCTTACGTCTATTTCATAGTTGGGCTTTGTATAACATTTCCAGAAATTCAGTGTTTTTTCCCTAAATATCCATCACCTGTGCATCACCTATAATATTATTTACTGACCATATTTCCTTAAAGCAAATACATTTTTTCTTTAATTTTACTTCACTCTTTGCTGTGCTAGACTTTACTCCCTAATATTTTTTCACATAAGACTATTTAAACAGCAAGGTATGAGGCCAAATACATAATCATTTAAAGAGAGTATTTCTGCTTTAAAAATGGCTAGAAATTAACAACATAGACAGGGGGAGGAGTTTAAGCCAAAGCTGGAAAGGTGGGTGGCAGGATTAGTTAGACTTTGTTTTGAAGAGGCACTAGGAAGCCATAGGAGGGTTTTGAGCTGGAGGCAGGGTATGTCCAGATTTCTGAGTTAGAAATATCCTTCTAACTTCCATGTACAGAGGATAGATTAGAGGTTATAAATCCAGAGGCGGGAACACAAGCAGGAGAGGATGAGGCTGAGCCAAGGTAGAGAATGAAAAGCCAGTTTGAAGGCCAAAAATGCTGGGGCCCTTCCCCACCCCTAGGTGCCCACCTTGTTGATGGCACAGGAGGTTCCTCGGCGGGCAGACTTGCTTGTGGCTGGGACAAGACGAGACATGTCAGCTCGGGCAGCCAGGATGTGTGCAACGGAGACATCCGTTTCTGGGGTCAGAGCCTCTCGAATTGGGATCAGCACTGCCTTCATGGCCTCCCCTTGGGCCTGGGGGGTGGGGTTTGAGAGGACATGGAGAAGGTGCCTAAGAGCCAGCCAGTCAAGGTGGGATCTCTCATTTTGGAAGAATTTCTTCCTCACTCAGGTCCTCTAAATAAGGGGTGTAGCTCTGATGACACTCCCAACTCAGAGCTGGGGATTCTAGAATGCCTAGGCCCCTGGAATCTAGAATGCCCTGGAAGCCCTGAGATTCTAGAGCCTCAACTTCACAAGATTCTACTATGTCCTGGGCCTCAGAACCTGCAAGAGGATAATATTCCTGGACCTAACTCCTCCTCCCGGCAGGGGTAGCTCCCACCATTGGGCGCCCCTGCTCTGCCAGGGTCCTATGCCCACACCTTTGCCCGATCACTCCAATAGAATGCAGATGTTGTGAGGTCCAGGCGCTTAAGGAGGAGGCAGCGTCGGCAGCAGTACTGACCTCGCAGGGCTTGACACAGAGATTCCAAGGCTTCCTGGAGAAAAAGGTCTTGGTCATGCCAGGGACTCCCTCTCCTTCCCATCTCTGAATGAGGACATTATTCGCATACAGCCATACACAGTCTTACCCATCTGGGTGCGTCCAGCGGGGAGCTGAGAAGGGGCTGCAGGGCCCCTAGGGGCAGGAAAGGCAGCAGCTCTGAGACCTGATGAGAGAAGGAGTCTGAGGCAGACTGGACTGCAAGAAACTGGAAGAACTCTCCGGGGACCCCAGTTCTCCACAAGACTGAGGACCTAGGCCACGGAATCAAGAATGGCAGTCACAGCTCTAGAAAACAGCAGTGGCTAGGGCATACTCCTCCCAGAGCTTCTTTTAGAGAAAGGGCTCTCCCCCTGCAAGGAAGGTGGGGTGAACCAGGTGCGGAGAGGGCTCTCGCTCTCTACCTTGGTATGCAACTCCCGCAGCAGCCCGCTGGCGAGAGTCCCCAGCGTGGGCCTGGGCAGTCCCAGGGCTTGGAGAATAAGGACCAGCTCCTGAACCATGCCAGCCCCCTCCGCTGCCCCTTCCCCACCGGGTGGGGGCTCCGCTGGGCTGGGATCTGTCCGGGGATGCAAGCGGAGGAGGCGGGCAGCTTGGAGCTCTGTGCAGAGAAAGCCTGAAAGTGGAGAAAGGGAGAGGTGAAATCTAGGAGCGCTACCAGCCCACCCACCTGGGTCAAAAAGCTCCAGCAGCTTCTAAAACTCCCGCTTTCTAGTTCCGCCCACCTAGAACCCTACATCTGGGTCCAGAATAATCTCCACCCACTTCGAGACCCAGTCCGCTCCTCGAATTCGAACCTCCCCCCATCTAAGGACCACTTTCTACGCTCCACCTAACCCAGCCCACTTGAGCTTCAAGACCCTCCCATCAAAATTCTAATCCTGCCCAGCTCAGAGCCCTAAATCCGTCCCAAGGTCCTGACCCCACCCACCACGGCCCCCTCGCAGGCCTCTACATTTTGACCACGCCCCTTCGGGAAAAGTCCTGGCTCCACCTCAAAGTGCTTAGCCCGCCCGATCTAGAGGCTGAAGCCTCGCCCACTTCCGCATCCCGGGCAATCCCCTGCTCACGCAGCAGGCGCAGGCACGCTCCCGGCTCCCGCAGCGAGGTCGCACAGTGTTTACCGCAGAGTGCGCGGTCCGGGCAGTGCAGCTGCTGTAGCAGGCCGGCCAACTGTCGCAGAAATTCCTCCTCAGCGCTGTGGCCTGCGGGAGGCGGGAGGCTTAAGGGCTCGGTGGGGACACCCGGGCTCCTCACCGGTGGACCTGCCGCTCCATACATACCTTCGCCGGCGCTCAACGCCTCCGCGCCCTCCCCTCGCTCCAGCTCCAAGGCACCCAGAGTCGCCAGCTCCTCAGCCAGCCGCACGCACAGCGCCCTGAAGTCTGGGCACGATGGGCCCCGCGCCACCGCCCCCAAAGAGTCCTTATACCTGTGGTGGCGCCAAGGCAAGGACAGGGGGCGGGAGAAGTAATAAGAATTTCTGAGAGCAAACCTGTTCCTTCCAGCACTGCCCCCAGTGACCCTGCGCGCTCCTTACCCCAGGGCCAGCAGGTCCCGGGCCACAGCGGCCCCCTCCTGTGAATAGGCCCTTGCCCCCTCCATGGAAACGGTGTCTCTTGGCCAGGCGCGCGCCCCCTACCGGTCGGCGGGAGGCCCCACCCAGGGATCGGCGGGCGACTCGTCTACTGCAGCGTAACCGACCAATATCCTGCTCTCGCCAAGGGCCTTAGACATTCTCATTGTTGCAGGAAGAGGCAGAACCCGCCCCCAGGTCCGCCCACGCCGAAATTTAGAGCACCGCCTCTTCGGATAGCCAGTCAGAGCCCCAGAAACCTCCTGACGCCGAAAATCCACAGCGTGAATTCAGGATCCCGACAGACCAGCGAATGTTGCTCTTGGTGCAACGTAGAATTAACTTAGGTTTTCTTTTCCTCAGCCTCCGTCAGATACCCTCTGCTCTTAAAGCACCCTTAACCAAGTGTTCTCCGTGTTCCACTCCAAATCTATAATCTCGTTTCCTGCTTCCCTACTTAGGGTTGTAGTTACGTCAAGGACCCAGAAAGCCCAGTTTACCGGTCACCACCCCCAACAGAGGCCCTCCTCATCGATCACAATGCGCCTGTTGAGCCTTCACCGCTCTGCCTCCCAGGCCTTGGAGAGGGAGCAGGTGCAATATTCCATCGTGATTGAGAGATTACACCCTACGAGCCAGGCCAACGGGGTTTAGGATCTGAATCCACCACTTACCACATGTGTCCTTGCCAAATAATAGCCCTTAGAGTTGTAAAGGTTAGAGTCCTATATGTAAGTGTATATATGTATATATATGTGTATAGAGTCCTTTATGTAAACACAGAAGTGGTACTCAATAATAACATATATTGAGCATTTCCTGTGTGTCACTGGGCCAAATGTCTTATCCCCATTTGACATGGGTTCAGAGAGGATAAGTCACACTGAATATGCAGTGGTACCACAACTCAAATTGAGATCTCGTTCCAAAGTCCATGGTTTTAACCACTTAACCTATACTACTGTTATTATTGCTACTGTTTTGTTGCTGTTGATTTTTTTCAAGATTTAATCTCTTACTACTCTCATCCAGTAGTTCCTAGATAATTCTGCTGGGAGGCAGGGAGCGGGGCTAGGTGTTGAGCCTCAGGGAAGAACAAAGGCCAGAATTTTTTCCTCGAGAGTAGAGCCTACCCTTACTTAACCTGATTCCTCCTTAGTCCTGTCTACCCCATGGACAGGGACTCAGGAGGCCTTGAGGTGACCTTAGTAAAACATTAAAAATTGCTCAGGCCAAAATTCTGGAGTCATAACCTTCTCTCTTTATATCAAACTTACATCTAAATTTATGGACTCTACCTTCAAAACACTTACCATCTCTACTGCTCTCACCCTGGTCCTGTGCACCATTGTCTCACCCAGGAGCATCACAGCAGCCTCCTTCCTGTCTCCCTGCTCTCCCTCCCCAGTGTCTGTTCCCCACAGGCAGCCAGAGGGAACCTATGAACTCTTAGGTCACATCCATCCCATATTTGGAGTCTTCCTGTAGTTCTCTCTCATTCACAGGGTGAACACCAAAGTCTATGCTTGCAGGGCCCCACAGATAGGTCCTTATCTCCTAAGTACTGCCCTCCTTCCTTTCTCTCCTCCAGACACTCTAGCTCCCTTGATGTCTCTCAGATTTACCAGACATGCTCCCCGCTCAGGGCGTTTCACCTACTCTTCCCTTTACTTGCAAAGCTCTTCCCACAGGCATCTACAGGATTCCCTCAGGGTTTTATTCAAATGGTCTTCAGTGTGGCCTAATCTGACCACCCTGGCTAAAATGGACTTCATCGTTCATCTCTACTTTTTCTTTATGGTACATACTTTTAATGTTATTTGTCTCCTTCACTATAAAGTTCATAAGCAACTTGTGGGAAGTTATTTTTGTGTTCTGTTCACTGCTTTATCTACAGAGCCTAGAACAAGGCTTGGCATATAATGGGTGTTCAGTAAATGTACTTGATGGAATGAATAAACTCAGCCGGAAGGCCTGCTTGGGACTAAAGGATGTGAAGGAGAAGGCAATTAGGAAGGAGGCTGGTTTGGGGCCTCAGGGGCCTATGGACAGCAGAATTCATGGGGCAACAGGTCCCAGGAAATAGCTGTATAGAGAGGTCTGAGTCCCAAGATGAGTGGATGGGGGCACATCAATACAAATAAAGAACAGAAGCTGGCCCTGGCGGGTGTGGCTCAGTGGATTATGTGCCAGCCTGCGAAGCAATGGGTCACAGTTTCAATTCCCAGTCAGGGCACATGCCTGGGCTGCAGGTCAGGTCCCCAGTAGTGGGTGAGCAAGAGGCAACCGCACATTGATGTTTCTCTCCCACTCTTCCTCCCTTCCCCTTCCCAAAGATATACAAAATCTTAAAAAAATAAAAAAAAGCACAGGCTGAGTCTTTGTCAAAGATATTTCTTGGAGCGAATATCTCATGCCCCCTCCCCCAATGACAAGGCTGGGTCTTTGGCTCCCCCACTACTTCAAATTGAGGTCACAGACTTGCTTGGAATCAAGATCAGGAAGAAAAATGTCAGGGTGCCTCTTCTAGTCTGGGGGCCATGTACCCAACCCAAGAGGCAAGCAGCTGGGAAATTGGGCCTGGGGGCTCCAGGGTCTGAGGTCTTCCTGGATCCCAGGGTCCACCCTCCATTCCCCCAGATTTTGGGGTGATGAAGAGAATTCATGGATCAGAGGTGGGTATCATCAGGGAACAGGACTGGGAGACCTGGGAGAGGTGGTGCTGGGGGAACCTTACCCCAGCCCCCACCACTTCATCTGCGGATCTCACAGCACCTTACAGCACTCTGGTCCCGTCCCACCCTTCCCCAAAACGAGGTAGGTTAAGAATGGAGCTTCCCCCGCCCACCACAGAAGGAGACTGAGACACCGAGAAGGAAATGGGAACCCAGGGTGCTCCAGCCCCCCGTCCCTCTGCCCTCAGCTCTCATGAGTCTGACAATGATGAGAGCTGGACAGAAGGGATGGGGGGACATCCCTTTGTTCTCATCTCTCCCAGGGCCTTGTAGGGAGAGCTGAATCTCACAGGTTTCAGATGTAATATTAAACATATAAAGGAAGTGACAGAATGCTCTATCCATTCCTCTGGCCCCCTTGACATATCCCTTGAAGCTCCACAAGCCCACCCAAGTCTGGGTAATAAAGGCAACTGCATGTTTTCAGATGCTTGGGACCAGATGCATGTCCTAAGCCCATACAACACGAAGGCTGTCTTGCTCCAAGACTTTGATTCCTCCCCCTAACACATTCAGGACCTTAGATTTGAGGGACCCTGGAAGTTCTATTCCACTCAGGGAAAAGAGAGCATGGCATACCACTTCCCTTGAAGAGGGGTTTCAGAGGTCCATGAAACAAGGGCGGGAGGAGAGAGAATGCACATGTGTACACCAGCAGAGCCATAGCTAGTCCAAAATGTGCCTTTGTGCAACTTATAAAATTGGACACCTTTCACTAAGGGCACAACAGTGTGATGTGAATTCCAGCCCACTCACCACCTTGGCCCTGTGCCGTTAGCTAATGAACAACTTGCACAATCATCTAAGGCAATATTGGGTCCTAGAGATGGGAGTAGGGGAACTCAGTGGTCCTGGAATGCAACAGCATGAGCTTAAGAAGGTAGGGGTTTTTTCCCTAGGGTAAAGGGATACTTCTGTGGGATGCTGAGGACATGGGTGGGGCCCTTAAGATTAGAATTCCAGAATCTGTCATCTTGGGATCTCAGGGGCCTAAGGACAGCTGAGTTCAAGGGGCAGCAAGTCTCAGTGAATATCAGGCTAGAGGTTTGAGTCCCAAGAAATCAGATCTGAAGGTGCTAGGGTCCTGGGGCACCTCAGACCTGTCTCTGGTAGGGAGGGATCAAGGTCTTGGGTCAGGGATAATCCCAATGCCGTGTAGGCTTGAGCCCTGAATTTGAAAGGTCGGGGGCACCTTGGGATCTTGGATCCAGTGCTTCTAAAGAACCTTGGGGTCACTCAGGGACTGAGGACAAATGGGACAGAGGTCTGGGTTGCTGTGAACATCCCATCTTCTGGGAGCTGGGCTTCCACTTGTTAGGGGAATGAGGTTTTGTGGGTACAAAGAAGCCAAAGACTCCTGGACATTCTGGGACCTGAAATCCAAGTCCAAGAGGGCTATCTCAGAATTTGGGACCAGCATCTAGGGCCCTGAGGTGTTGGTGGCCATTGGTGGCCTTTGGTTCTAATCTGAAAGCACTAGGCACCTCAGCGTCCTCTAGATAAGACCCAAAAGCTCCTGGGAACACTGGCTGGTTGGGGGAGTTAGGTCTAAAGTGGTCTTTGATCCCTGGCTCCCAGAGCATCTTGGAGTCTGATGTCTGGATGTGGGGGTGTTCTGAGATGGGTCTCCAAGTCATTTTGGTCAGAGAACATCTGTTTGAGCATATCCAAGGACCCAGGTCATCTTAAGAGGGCTCAGTATCTTTGGCGTCCTCGGGCTACAAGAATACCTCAGATATGGGTGCCTCAGGTTTTAGGTGAGTATTCAGGGACCATTTGGAGTGCTTCTAGGTCCTGTGATCTCAAGATCTGGGAGTAATTCCATATAGGCAGGGTCAGGTATTGGCAACTCCTAATTCTGGGACTGTAATCTGTGGGTTGTCAGGATTCAGGGCCCTGCTTCTGTCAGGGATCCGTGTGCTCCCAAGCCTGCCTGATGTGTAGAGCTAGGGGATGCCCGGAGTCTCCTCAGTCTAGGCCATCGGGGGAGGGGGACAGCGGGATGAGGACGCCAGAACTCAGGATGCCTGGGACCTCTTGGGCAGACAGCCCAATGAAGGTGGGCCTGGGATCCATCAGTTTAAACTCGAGCTCCAAGTTCTGGGTGTGCGTAGGTGTGGGTTTGGGATCCGAATGGAGTCCGGGGTCCTGGACCCTCGACTTTGGGTCCGCGTTCTGGAGACCGGACCCACCAGGCCATCCTCACCGCGTGGCCTCCTCGTGGCGACCTCCGCAGCCGGCACAGCCGCATCGGGCCGCAACCCAGTGGCAGGCGCGCAGGGGTGCGTAGCAGCA